CAGGTTAAAGACCTTAGATTTTACGATCTGGCAACTCTGGGTCCAAATCCTTTGTCGGCCGTGGACCTGTCCCCATCCTACACTTCCCTGCTTCCCAGCCCCAACGAAGTCTGGGCTGTCCTTAGCTTGGGCAAATCTGTCACTTTTTTCCAGGGATAGGGTCTTGCTCTGTTACCTAGGTTGGAGTGCAGTGGTGCTATCATAGCTCACTGCAGCCTCAAACTCCTGGCCTCAAGCAGTCCTCCCATCTCAGTCTCCTGAATAGCTAGAACTATGGGCACACACCACCGTGGCCAGCTGGTTTTTCTTTTAAACTTTTTTTTTTTGAAGAGATGGGGGTCTGGCCATGTTGCCCTGGCTGGACTAGAACTCCTGGCCCCAAGCAAACCTGCCCCAGCCTCCAAAAGTGCTGGGATTATAGGTGTGGGCCCCGTGCCCAGTCCGCCTATGTCTTTATGTTTAAAATGACTCTTGTATATATCATTCGGCCTTGCCTGTGAATCTTGATCCCTTTGACAATTTCTGCCTTTTGATATGGTTGTTTTAGGTCTACCATTTCACTCTCCACTTTGCTTTCCCACTCCCTCCCCTATTTTGGTCCCTCTTCTTTCTTGCCCTCTTTTGTGTTAAAAATAGGTCTTTTGAGATGGAGTCTTGCTCTGTCACCCGGGCTGGAGTGCAGTGGCGCAATCTTGGCTCACTGCAACCTCTGCCTCCTAGGTTCAAGCAATGCTCCTGCCTCAGCCTCCTGAGTAGCTGAAATGACAGGCGCCTGCCACCACTCCCAGCTAATTTTTGTATTTTTAGTAGAGATGGGGTTTCATGTTGGCCAGGCTGGTCTTAAACTCCTGACCTCAAGTGATCTGCCTGCCTTGGCCTCTCAAAGTGCTGGGATTACAGGTGTGAGCCACCAGACCGGTCCTAAAAATACTAGTTTCAGTTTTAATGTATCCACTAGCGTTTTGGAGATGCTGTTCCTTTTCTTCAGTGATTGCTCTAATAGGGTCTTAACTTCTCATATTCTTAGTATTGTACCACTTCATGCACCTTGAAAATCCCTTAACCTCTCTGAACTTCAGTTATTTCATTTATAAGATGAGAATGGTGACTTTCTCTCATGGGTTATCTGACTCCCGGATGAGACAACTCAAGCCGAGTACACAGCCAAGGGCAGAACAGCAATGCCTGTTGACTGTCAGGGCTGATCCTAGTCTGAAGGGGTGGCCTGCCCCTCCACACCTGTGGGCGTTTCTCGTTAGGTGGAACGAGAGACTTGAGAAAAGAAATGAGACAAAGTATAGAGAAAGAAAAAGTGGGCCCAAGGGACCAGCGCTCAGCATACTGAGGACCCACGCCAGCACCGGTCTCTGAGTTCCCTTAGTATTTATTGATAATTATCTTTACCATCTTAAAGAAAAGGAAGTGGCAAGATAATAGGATCATTGTAGGGAGAAAGTCAGCAGTAAGACATATGAATAAAGATCTCTGTGACATGAATAAGTTTAAGGAAAAGTGCTGTGCCTTGATATGCATGTGCAAACATCTCCATAAACCTTTTTAGTGCATAAAGAGCAGCATTGCGCTAGCAAGTCCCACCTTTCACCCTAAGGCGGTTTTCTCCTTTCTTAGTAAACAGAACACACAATTGGGTTCCTTTGCCCAGGGACAGGCAGGAGACAGATGCTTTTCTCTATCACAACTGCCAACAACCGCCAAGATGCCTTCTTTCCTCTTGTACTGGTCCTCCTCAGCACAGACCCTTCACAGGTGTCAGGCTGGGGGACGATCAGGTCTTTCCCTTCCCACGAGGCCATATTTCAGACCATCACATGGGGAGAAACCTTGGACAATACCTAGCTTTCCTAGGCAGAGGTCCCTGTGACCTTTGGCAGTGTATGTATTCCTGGGTACTTGACATTAAGAGAATGGTGATTACTTTTAACCAGCAAGCTGCCTTCAGGCACTTGTTTAACAAAGCACACCCTGCACAGCCCAAAATCCTTTAAACCTTGAGTCACCACAGCACATGTCTCTTTCGAGGACAAGTTTCGAGGACAAGGTTGGGGGTAGGGTCACAGATTAACAGCATCTCAAATACAGAACAAAATAGTCTCTTCTGTCTACTTTTTTCTATACAGACACAGTAACAGGCTGATCTCTCTCTCTTTTCCCCACACTAGTCCTGCCACTACTGTGAAGAGTGTGGTTCTGATCAGCACTGGGCCTCCTGAGACCACATGGAGCCACCACTGAGTATCCCCAGCGGCAGACCCACTGCAGGGGGTCATGTGTCCGACTGTGATTACCCATTCTGCTAAATGGCTGCCCCTCAGGGATGCTGGTATCTCACCAGGGCACCTCTCAGCTGCCCTTTCCTTGCCCAGAGCTGCATCCTGTGCCCCCTCTTCAGGCTGCTCCTGGGCCGGCAGAGCCAAACCAGCTGACCCAGCCAGGCTGATCACAGAAAACGCCTGGCTTGATTTCCACCTCTGCAGTCCTCCCTATGCCTTTCACATTCCTGGACTCTGTCCAAGCCTCCATCTGCTGCCCATTCTTCTCACTCGCAGTGATGGCTTTAGCAATCGGCAGGGACATAGGCCTCTGGGGATGCTGTCTTCTCACACTCAGCATCAGTCCCACAGAATGGAAGCACTAGCGCTCCTGCGGGCAGCCTGTGCAACCACTCCTAATGGGTTTTTCGGAATGTGGTTCTAGGCCTTTCTTTGAGGGTTTTTTGTTTCTTTTTTGGGGGAGACAGAGTCTCATGTTGTCCCCAAGGCTGGTGTGGAGTGGTAGGAACATGGTTCTCAACCTCCTGGGCTCAAGCAATCCTCCCACCCCAGACTCCTGAGTAGCTGGAATTACAGGCAAGCGCTATTAGGCTAAGCTTATTTTTTGCAGAGACAAATTTCACTGTGTTGCCAGGCTGGTGTCAAATCCCTGAGCTCAAGTGATCCACCTGCCTGCTGCCTCCCAAAGTGCTGGGGTTGCCGGTGTAAGCCACTGCACCTGGATAATTCTTGTGTTTTCAGTCGAGATGGGGTTTCACCATGTTGGCCAGGCTTGATTCCAGGGTTTGGAAGTGGGAGCGAGTAACGCTTGAAAATCTGGATGGGCTGGACACAGGTGGACTGGGGCAGCCCCGCAAGACACTGGAAACTGCTCTAGAAACACAGGAGTAATCCGAGTGACCTGGATCCTCACAGTATGGCTTCCAACTGCCAGCTATCAGCACCAGATAGAAGGAAGCACTTGTTGGCCAGGTGCAGTGGCTCATACCTATAACCCCAGCACTCTGGGAGGCCAAGGCGGGTGGATCAATAGGTCAGGAGTTCAAGATCAGCCTGGCCAAGATGGTGAAACCCCCTCTCTGCTAAAAATACAAAAATTAGCCGTGGATGGTGGCAGGTTCCTGTAATCCTAGCTACTTGGGAGGCTGAGGCAGGAGAATCACCTGAACCCAGGGGACCAAGGTTGCAGTGAGCCGAGATTGTACCATTGTACCTCAGCCTGGGAGTGATACTCGGTCTCAAAAAGAACAAACAAACAAAAAAAACTTGTTTCCTGCTTGAAGGGGTGTTACTGAAAGCAACTGAAGTGGTTGCCTTGAGCTGGCAGAACTCCATCTCTTAGCTTCTCTTTCTAAGTGGGGGTTTCTACTCCTGGGCAACTTTACCCAAATTCTCTTCCTGATTAGTATCAAGCTCACCTACTTTTGTGTGTGTGTGTTTTTTGTTTTTTCTTGAGAGAGTCTTGCTCTGTTGCCCAGGCTGGAGTGCAGTGGTGTGATCTGGGCTCACTGCAAGCTCTGCCTCCCAGGTTCAAGCGATTCTCTTGCCTCAGTGGCCCAAGTAGCTGGGATTACAGTAGTAGGTCCTCACCACCACTCCTGGCTAATTTTTTTTTTTTTTTAGTAGAGATGGGGTTTTGCCATGTTAGGCTGGTCTCGAACTCCTGACCTCAGGTGATCCACCCACCTCGGCCTCCCAGAGTGCTGGGATTATAGGCGTGAGCCACCAGGCTTGGCCCAGCTCACCTACTTTTTAAAATGCAGATGATGCTTTTTTTTTTTTTTTTTTTGGAGTGACAAGGTCTTGCTATGTTGCCCACGATGGTCTTGAACTCCTGGGTTAAAGGGAACTTCCTGTGTTGACCTACCAAAGTCCTGGGATTATAGGCATGAGCCCCATGCCCAGCCTGATGCTGCTCTTAACTCTGAACCCTCCCAGGGCTTCATATTTTCTCATGGGCAGGCCCGGCCCTCATGTGTTTCTGGCTTTGTCACATGGCCTGCCCTCTACTCGGGTTTTGTGTCTGCTCCTGGGATGTACTGCTAAGGTGGAATCCCCCTGTGGACAGGGCCCTTCTGTCAGTCATCTTGTTCACCAGTGTGTCGCCCAGCAGCCTTCTGTGCCTGCTTCATAGTCGGTGCCGAACAGAAGTGAAGATCCCACATCCACTTCCACGATTAGCGCCAACAGCCATGGGCAGGACCTCTCCTTGGCTTCTGTGTTCTCATTACTCTCTAGTGGCTGAAATTTGGAGTCCCCATCTCCAGGCTCTGGCACGGAAGTCATGCTAACCTTCATAGGCATGTCTGCTTTGCTGTCTTTTGTTTCACATTCTGACAGTCCTCAGAAAAGCTAGCGTTCATTCGGGAGATTCTTTCACTCACACGTGCATTACATGAGAAATTACTCAATGTCTGAGGTAGAAGCTTCTCTGCAGGGCCGGGCGCAGTGGTTCATGCCTGTAATCCCAGCAGTTTAGGAGGCCGATGCGGGCAGATCGCTTGAGGTCAGGAGTTGGAGATCAGCCTGACCAACATGGTGAAACATTATCTCTACTAAAAATTAGCCAGGCATGGGGGTGTGTGCCTGTAATCTCAGCTACTCAGGAGGCTGAGGCAGGAAAATCACTTGACCCTGGGAGACGGAGGTTACGGTGAGCCACTGCACTCCAGTGCTGGGGTGACAGCAAGACTCCATCTCCCGCCCCCACCAAAACAAAAACAAAAAACAAAACAAAAAAATTGCCCTCCAGGGCCAGGAGGAGAGGAGATCTGAGGCCAAGAAGGCCACTAACGATGAGCTGAGAGCTGCAGCATCAAGCAGAGGGGTCCTGGAAGCATCCCACTGCTTATGGCTCAGTAGGACAGGCTCATGGGTGCTTTCCCTCTCAAAACACCAGAGCACAGAGTGTGAAGCTGGAAGCGTCCTAGTGGAGACCAGGCCCTAAGGGTCTAGTCCTACTTGGGCCAGCAGGACCATCAGATGGGCAGTTGAGCAAGAGAAACTATACCCAAATGAGGTCTCAGGATGCCATAGGCCCCTGACTTCCCAGGCCAGCTCCTGGCGGGGCAGGGCTCTGTCAGTCACACAACTGGAGGTAACAATGGCAGACTGTGGCCAAGGGTGGTGAATGTGTGGCACCAGCTAAGCCTCCATCTACCTCCCACAGCATCCCTCTGTCACCCACGCTGGGGACCCCTAGCATCTTATTTCTACACTATTTCAAGTCTTATGCCTGCAGCCTGGGATGCCCTGGCCTCATTCCCCTTCTGACTTGTCCTGGATTTACCAACAGTATGTGGAGGCCAGTTAGATTCAGCCACATCAGCCCGAGGCCAAAATAGGTGAGTCCCAACTTCAGACTTACAAATAAAGACATAACCCAATATGCAGTTTGGTTATGAAAAATATCTATCAAGTGGAAAAAAAAATCTCTAAAATACCAGGATAAAAATGGGCTGTATGGCCAAATACAGTGAGCATGGACTTGGAGTCGAACAGGAAGAGGTCTCAACTGGAAATACACTCGATGAGCTGGGTTTTGTTGTTCTTGGCATTGCTGCTTTTGGCTGGCTGCCTCACCAGTAAGGCAAAAACCACTGCCTCCCAGGCTTGTGTGAGGATTAAATGAAGTACAGTTACATCCTGAGATATGCCCAGGCTGCAAGAACTTGTCTTTAAGAGGAGTTTCATCTAAAAGCACTGTGGTTTATGAGGATTACAAGGCACTTAAAAAGAGCTGTGATCTTCCGTCGCAGGATTTCACCATAGGACCCTAAGAAGCACTTGAAGTGTGTTGCAGTGCCGAAGCACTGATGCTCAACAAACTAACAGGTGTATTTGCACCTCGTCCATCGACAGATCCCCACAAGCTTAGGGAATGTCTTCCCCTGATCGTCTTCCTCAGGAATAAACTCAAGTACGCGTTGACTGGAGATGAGGTAAAGAAGATACGTATGCAGTGCTTCATCAAAATTGATGGCAAGGTTCGAGTGGCTACCACATACCTTGCTGGATTTATGGATGTCATTGGTATTGAGAAGACAGGGGAGCATTTCTGCCTGGTCTATGACACCAGGGGCTGTTTTGCTGTTTACCGCATCCCAGTGAAAGAGGCAAAGTACAACCTGTGCAAAGGGAGGAAGAGCACTGTGGGGATGAAAGGAATCCCACACCTGGTGACTCATGATACTGGAACCATCCACTACCCAGATCCTCTCATCAAGGTGAACCATGCTGTGAAGATTGATTTAGGGACTGGCAAGATAATCAACTTTATCAAATTCCACACAGGCAATGTCTGTATGGTGATTGGTGGAGCCAGCCTCAGTCGTGTTGGTGTGAACACCAACAGGCAAAGACATCCTAGATCGCTCAATGTGCATGTGAGGGATGCCAGTGGCAACAGCTTTGCCATGAGGCTGTCCAACATTTTTGTCATTGGCAATGGCAGTAAACCTTGGATCTCCCTGCCCAGGAGAAAGGGCATCCGACTTACTATTGCTGAAGAGAGAGAAGAGGCTAGCCACCAAACAGTGGTGGCTAAATTGCAGTAGCAGCATATCTTTTTTTTTTTTTTCCCCCTCAAATAGTGAATTCTTGTTTCTAAGAAAAAAAAAAGTTCTGAACACAGGCTAGGTGTGGCGGCTCATTCCTATAAACCCAGCACTTTGGGAGGCAGAGGTGGGTGGGATCACTTGAGGGTCAGGAGTTGGAGACCAGTCTGACCAACATGGTGAAACCTCATCTCTACTAAAAATAGCCAGGTGTGGTGGTACACTCCTGCAATCCCAACTACTTGGGGGGCTGAGGCAGGAGAATCACTAGAACCTGGGAGAGGGAGGTTGCAGTGAGCTGAGATTGTGCTACTGCACTCCAGCCTGGGTGACAGACCAAGACTCCATCTCAAAAAAAAAAAAAAAAAAAAAAGTCTGGATTTTTAGAGCCTTGGGAATATGCAGCTGAGATAAGAGTAACCCCTGTGGTCACCTTCCTAGTCGTAGAGTGGGGTGTGTGAAGTTCTCAGCATTTGTAACTTGCTAGCTTATACTGACAACCCTGGCACTCCTTGCATTGTTTCCATTGACTTTTCTGCCTCTATTACTTTACCTTTTTGTATAAAGCGTTCTCTTATGTGAACGACGGATGTCAAATATGCTTTCTTTGGTAGTATAGTCTCAAGTGTACAATGCAGCTCTGAAAGACCTGGAGAAGTGTAGTGATATAGTTTGGTATTTGTCCCTGTCCAAGTCTCATGCTGAGATGTCATCCCCAATGTTGGAGGTGGGGCCTGCTGGGAGGACCCCTCATGGCTTGGTCCTGCCCTCAAGATAGTTCTTGTGAGAGCTGGTTGTTTGGAAGTGTGTGGCACCCCCTCACCCTGCTCCTAATTTTGTCACACGATGTGCCTGCTCCCCCTTCACTTTCCGCTGTAATTGTCAGTCTCCCGAGGCCTCCCCAGAAGCTGAGCAGACGTCAGTCTGCAGAACCACAAGCCAATTAAATCTCTTTTCTTGGCCGGGTGTGGTGGCTCTCGCCTATAACCCCAGAACTTTGGGAGGCTGAGGCAGGCGGATCACCTGAGGTCAGGAATTCGAGACCAGCCTGGCCAACAGGCTGTATTTTATCTACTAAAAATACAAAAATTAGCTGGGCATGGTGGTGGGTGCCTGTAATCTCAGCTACTCAGGAAGTTGAGGCAGGAGAATCACTTGAAACCGGGAGGTCGAGGTTGCAGTGAGCCGAAATCATGCCACTGCACTCCAGCCTGGGTGAGAGCGAGACTCCATCTTAAAAAACAAAAACAAACAAAAAACCCTCTTTCCTTTATAAATTACTCAGCCTCAGGTATTTATAGCAATGCATGAACAGCTTAATGTATGTAGACAGCCATTTTATAGGGTAATTAAGAGACCTTGCTTATGTTGTGCTGTGTTAGTGGAGGTCAATTATCTGTGTCCATTTTAATGGGTTTATGGTGTTTTAGGATAAATGAGTGTGTGTTTAGGGACTAAGGTGTGCATACAAATTTTTCCACTGGAATTAATGGCAATTATATTCTCCACTTAGAAGAATTCATCCTAGGAGGGGTTTTTATGTACAAATTACCCTTTTAAAGCAGGAGAATGTAGGTGAAAAATACATCAGACTGCACAGCACAAAGTTTTCTTAAATGTTTTTATGTTTTGTTTGTTTTTGAGATGGGATTCTCACTCTGTTATCTAGGCTGGAGTGCAGTGGCACAATCTCTGCCTCCTGGGCTCAAGTGATCCTCCCACCTCAGCCTCTTGAGTAGCTGTGACTACAGGTATGAGCCACCACATCTGGCTAATTTTTTGTAAAGATGGGGGTCTCACTATGTTGCCCAGGCTGGTCTCGAGCTCCTGGGTTCCAGCAATCTACCTGCCTTGGCCTCCCAAAGTGCTCGGATTACAGGTGTCAGCCACCATGTCATTATTAAATGTTTAATAACTGGAGACATATCTAGAAATGTAAATATATACAAATATACATATTGTCTTGGGTGTGACTGGCTGGGGCTAGAATCACAAGCAATAAAGGTATTCACCAAGACAGTTGTGGGGAAAGGCAGATTTATTAGAGGGAGAATATGTCCTGGGCATGGTGGCTCATACCTGTAATCCCAGCACTTCAGAAGGTGGAGGCAGGCAGATCGCTTGAGCTCAGGAGTTCGAGACTAGCCTGGGCAACATGGCAAAATCCTCCTCTACCAAAAATTTAAAAATTAGCCAGGAGTGGTGCCTGGTGCCTACAGTCCCAGTTACTTGGGAAGCTAAGGTGGGGATCACTCGAACCTGTGAGGCAGAGGTTGCAGTGAGGCGAGATGGTACCACTGCACTCCAGCCTGGGTGACAGAGCCAGACCCTTTCTCAAAAGTAGGAAGACATGTTGCAAGGGTACAATGGGCAGCACAGCAGAGAAGGGGCTGCTTGCAAAGAGGCAGGGGCTTGAGGGAAGTGTTACAGGGTCATGCTGGAGGGGGCCGCATGTGGAACGAATGGGATGTTGTGTCTACAGGTTGTCTGATTAGCCTTCTCTTGGAATACTTGCTCCCCCTCACCTGGGACCCCTTCCCTGTTGTTGCTGGCATAGCTTACCAGGACTCCACGTTCCCCCTCTAACTGAACAATGCCAAAGCTTTGGCACTGGGGTGGCAGTTTCATTTGCAGCTACTTCCTGCTGGCCTGAGGCGTAGAGTTGACCCTACCTATGCCTGTTGGTCTGTCAGGAGACCCTGTGGGTCACTGTCCCGGGTTGTGAGGCCTAGGATGTTGGCTCTTGGTGGAGAAGGGGACTTGTTGGAGAAGGGGAGCCTGTCAAGGTGAAACTGATGTCCAGCTGCATCCAGGGGAGATGCCTTGTAAAGGCAGCTGGCATCACTGGGGAGACCGATATTCCATCTGCAGCATCATTTGAAGGTGAAACTGTTGAATTAGCCCTGGTGCTGTTTGGGATCACCTGGATTAAGAGGTCCGGAGCAGCATGGCTGCTGTCTTCACGGGAGAATTTAGCGTGAGAAAGGGGGGCTCTGAGTTCCCCAAAATGTGTGTAGGTTTGCCCTGGTTGAGCTTCCGCTGCCAGTGGCACTACATGTAGGGATTGTGAACTTTTGGCTAGAAAGGATAGGAGGGGCCTTCCTCCCTTCCCAGCAAGGTAGCCAAACCTGTTTACCCCTTGGCCTCCAGGCTACACAAAGGAGTGGCCCTAGCCAGTGGCATGAATTGTCAGAGGGATACTAGAATTTGTCCCCTGGAAGACTGAAAAGGAAGGCAAAACTCTCAATTTTTACTGAATCAGGCATCTCTCCACCGGGACCTTCTGATGCATTAGGGAGTAGACCTGGCTGGGGGCCTTCAGCTGTCTCCAGGCTCAGGCGCTGTCCACTGAGAGGCTGGAGTTGGAGAAGAAAGGGACACAGGAGGGGAGGACTCCTGAAGCACTCCCCGAGCACTTCCCATACGGGCCAGCAAAATGTCACGGGTGCAACTGTCTATGGCTGGTGTGGCAGGCGGTAAAGAAATTTACTAAGACAGTCATGGGGGAGAAAAAAGGCAGATTTATTAGAGGGAAACCAGAAGATAAGTTGCAAGCGTACAGTGGGCAGCCCAGCAGAGGAGGGGCTGTCTGCAAAGAGGCAGGGGCTAGAGGGAAGTCTTGGGTTGTGCAGGAATGACATGCTGCTGGGCTACACAGGGAGTGAGGTATTTGGGAACATGCCAGCAGGTTATCTGTCATGAGCCATCTCTTGGAATAATTGTTCTCCCCCACAGGAGACCCCTTCCTCGTCGCTTACTTTCCGTATACGTGTGGAGTCTTTATGGGAAAACTGAGCTAATAGAGTACAGTATTTTGTACTGATTTTTTATCTTCCAAATATTGATTAGAAAATATGTCAATGTAGAAGTCACCATTATAGCTCTAATCTATTTAAAACCTAAAGGTCCTTATCCCAGAGGTAAACGCTGTTAGGGCTTGCTCCAAGTCCTTCTGAAGCCACCTTGCAAAAATTATGAGTGAGAAAATCATGACAATGAAACAGATCTAACCTAACCAACTCCAGCTTGCTCCTAACCTCCAAGCTGCCCTTGGTCATTCCTGCACATGGGCTGAACTAGCTTTGGAAGGGATTTATTTATTTTTATTTATTTACTTTTGAGACAGAGTCTCGCTCTGTTGCCCAGGCTGGAGTGCAGTGGTGCGATCTCTGCTCACTATAAGCTCTGGCCCCGGTTCGTGCCATTCTCCTGCCTCAGCCTCCCAGGTAGCTGGGACTACAGGCACCTGCACCACGCCCGGCTATTTTTTGGTATTTTTAGTAGAGATGGGCTTTCACTGTGTTAGCCAGGATGTGTCTCAATCTCCTGACCTCATGATCTGCCTGCTCGGCCCTCCCAAAGTGCTGG